ATCATCGGAAAGTAAATCCGTTATAGGAAACAAAACATAGATATCTCCTTTTCTATAAGAAAAAAGCTAATTAAAATAAAAATTAATCATCGGAAAGTAAATCCTCGGAAAGTAAATCCTGTATACCGTGCATACTATCGTATAGTTCAAAATATTCCATTAGAGAAATTACAATATCAATTAGTAGCGATTCGTTTATGTGGATATTTTGATCCTGAATGTAGGCATGTGCAGGGTAGCTGTCTCTGGAGCCCTGGCGCTACCCTAAGAAAAAATGTTGTACCCTCCCCTACCCTGTGACACCGGAGCCCTGGCCCTACCCGACCCTGTTGCTTCAGGTGATCTTCGAGCCCTGGCCCTATCCTACTCTGCAGGGTAGGGCAAGGGTGCCCTGCACATCTCTGCCTGAATGTTATAAAGCAAAAATTACATACATATGCATTTCCAGCTGAAACAAAGGAATGATTACGTGAGACGGATACTATCGTGTTCTTATTTAATGTCGTTTGTACGAATCAGACAAAAACTTTTTCATAGTCTTTTTAGTTTTATTCAACGTCAATTACAAGAGGAAAAGATCAATTGCTCAAGTGAATACAGCTCCTGAGTTGTTTCAAGTTGAGGCATATAAACAAAGTGAAGATTAATTCTTCTGTTATTGAAGAAGAATCTGATAATTAAATAGTAGCATGTTGTGAACACGAATGCAAATCGATAATATAGCATATAAAAAAATTAGTTTTTGTGTAATTATTAATATCTATACTACAGGTATTATCAAAGTGAGAATTTTGCACAACCATTACTTTTTCCATTTTTTAAAACTGACAATTTTGTGCGGTGAGTACATTTGAAAAGAGACTTGACACGTTTCCACCATGACCTTTTGCATCCGTTTCGTTTACATATATGTTGTAACCTAACTTCAGATTCGGCCAGATTCCGAGTTTGGCTAGTCGACACCGAAATTGCAACTATGACTGGCCAAATTTAGAATATCACTAACCAGAAGTAGAGCTCTAATTTTGGTTACCGTTACCGAATAACAGTGGTAACGGTAACTGGTAACTGTCATAGCCCCATGCTGTTTTTCATCAGATTTAGAAGAATAATTGAAACAGTTAATATTTTGGTTCTTTTTCGCCTATGAAAGAGAATTAATACGTTGTAATGTTATATTTTGTTCTTGTTTATCTGTTCTCCTACTAAATGGTTGTTCTATCAAATAATAAACTAATCCAGCGTTAAGAAGATATTTTCATTCATATTATGCAGAATTTAGCTATCATATATAACTTGAGGTTTTATTAAATTGTAACTTTCATTGGCTTTTTCTTTTCGATTTAATTAAATAAAAATATGCTCTTCCATTTTTCCTGCAAATCCGTTTATTTTCTGCCAATTCCAGTTCTTAGACACTATGTTCTCTTGGGTGGTGTCAAGAGACATTACTTTAATATAGATAAATGGTAAAAATATGCAAGATTGACTTTTTGATATTTTAGTGCCGTAAAAAAATAACACTACAAATAGAATTGAGTTAAGATATAATGTAAAATTTTCATAAATATGAGAAGGTTTGTTTTAAGACTCCCGCAGTAAATCTGAGGAAACACGAGAATGCTTGCAATCAATGTGTTTTGAAAGAAAATACTATTTTCTCGGAGAATATCAGGAAATCCAATCTTGTCTATCTAATAACTCACATGATCTGTCCCACAATTGTTTTGCTAATGTTTGATCTCTAGCAGTCACATGTTCTTCCACATAAATATTTCCATTTCCAATATATCGTCCGTTTGATTCCGGATCCGTCGCTGCTTTATATATACGACGTGCACCATCTTCAACTGTTGTTGTTATCGGCAATATTGGTAAAATTCGTTGCATCACAATACGCAAAAACCGATTTTGGATTTGACGTGACAGTTCCGTTGTTGGTATAAAACCAGGATGAAGAGTCGCCACTTTTATTCTGTATTTATCGTAGTGTTTTGGTAAATAGGACTTTAACAGATAATTGGCAAATAAAAGATTAAATAATTTCGTTTGAGAATAAACAGCCATGCCGCCGTAATTTCCTGCATTTAAATTTTCAATATATTCATAACTTTGTTTTAAACCGCGTTTATGTAAATCAGATGAGACAATAACAATTGTAG